AGAGAGTTGACTACATTTACGTTATTCTCTTGCTAACTTAAGCATCGGAGCCCGTGTGACTAGAGTCACACCGGTTTAGCTCGATTTGATTTTGCAGGTACTAGTCCCGGATCAACAAGTTTGGTGGATGCGAGGTAGTGAACCGGAGGACCGAAATCCACGCATCAACAACTATAAAAAAAATTTATATTTATGTGATCAATATAATTGACTTGACTAAACTTTCAAAGTAGTTTCCAAGTAAGGGTGTTCAATTATAAGTACCYCAACCGAGACAGAATTATTGTTGATGAAAGTTAATTATTGTCTATTTTCGAAGCATTGTTCTTGGAAATACTAATGATATATTTTTTGAATAAGTTTAATGTTGGGTTTGTAAGGTGATTGCAAACAAAGTTCCACATTGGGTAGGGAAGAGAATGATCATGTATATATAAGAGTGGACAATTATCTTCATTGGTAGGAGGTCTTTTGTAATACTAATATAGAYATAATATGAATATTAATCATTTTTTAGAAATAGTGAAACGATTATTTGTTAATTTAAATATTGTTTTCTGAATTTTTTATTTTTATAACTTTTTTAGAAATATTCATCTATATCGACATTTTATTGATATTTCCATGAGATTTCGATATTTCCAGCGACATCAATATTTAAAACCTTACATTTCAATCAAAATTTTAACATAAATACTAACTCACTAAAATTATTTAAATATAGTTATAAATTTGTATTAAGAAGATTTTATCATGACAATAAAGTTTTGTATATAAAAATAAAATGGTAACTTTTTATAAAGTTACATCTAAGAACATTTTAAAAACATATAACTAAAATGAGCAAAAATAAGATATATATATATATATATATAATTTGAGTTGGCTTGAAAACCCCAACGGTTTCCCTCCATTAAGACAAATTGAGTAAATAAATAAAACTGGTCAAAAAAAATTTCCCTCCATTTCACTTCTCCAAACTTCATGCTCTTACCAAATCGATTCAAAATGTTTTTGTATTTCTCTCCGCGATTGCCTCTAGAAGGGGATTCCATTTGGATGCTAGTTCGTGATTAAGAAATTATTAGCAAACATTGCCAAATGGCAATCGTCGCCGATTTTCGGAGTCGGATCGTCGATTTTCATTCTCAATCTTCATCGTTGGTACCTGGTAACTACTTTTGATCTTCAACACGGTTGAGTTTTCATGCGCGTTTGATCGAAAACTACATAGAGAGCGACTGAACCATTTTTTAACTGCGTTATTCTATTGATCATCGCTAGATTCTTCACAGTGAAGGTTTTTGTCATTTGATCGATTTTCTTTCTCTATGTTCATGATATTTGCTCGTTTTCTTCCCTTTCTGTTGGTCTCGAAATCAGGAAATCACGTTGGCGGTGCAAGTCAGGATGATTGCCAACTACTACAGAATACAGTGGCTTTTGAAGAGGACGATGGATTCGACAACCGCGTTGTTCATTTGGAGAGCCCTGGCATTGACACCGAGCTGGTGGATGATCTTGATAGTTCGGAGAACTTGACCATTCCTACATTCGAGTATGAGGATGACGTTGTTCTTGATAGCGAGGATGAAGGAATTGATGGAAGTAGAGTGATTAGGGTTTCAAGTGCCCTTTCTAGAAGTGAAGCGGTGCAGAAAGTTGGAAGTGATGCACAAGAAGAGAATGTGGCAGCGGACTTCCATTATTCCGATCAGAAACAGTGCGATACAGGTCCATACTCAACTCACTGCTTCAATAATTTGAAACATGGTAGGTTAAATATACGAAAGGGTAATTCCCAATTTGGTTCTTAAGCTTTTAAAATTCTCAAATTTTCTCCTAATGAATTCAAAAATTTCCCTTAGGTTATTTCGTTGAAAAATCTGTGAAAGTTTGTTAATGAAAATTTATGTTCCATTTACATATTTGGATATATCACGTGGAAAGAGAATTATTTTATTTATGAATTTTTTAAATTTCATGTGCCAAGTAGCATTTAAGCCACATGTGGACTGGATAGGTCAATAAAGCATAAAATATCAATACATCAACTTTTGGTTAAAAGGTTTTAGAAACTATTTTACAAAAGATCTAATTGAAAGTTTTTAATACATTATTAAAGGATAAGAATGGAGGGCTTTAAATAATTAAGGATGAAATTGAAGATTACCTAATAATTAAGGACCTTTTGTACGTTAGCCCCACCAATTTTTGAATTTATTCTTCTTTCCCACTCTGTTCATTACTTTAGTATAACTCTTGTTTGGCTTGCCTATACATTTTGTTTGAAGGGGAGCAAGTTTCTTCTAATTGTGTTAATGGGTTTGACATGGGGAAGGATTCATCTCAACCTTCTGCAAGGTTAAGCTATTGCAGTTCTCAGGAACCAGGGGAGTCAACTCAAGTCAATGCTCTTGGCTTTGTGGATCATTTTCTATCTGTAAGTACTGCAAATGCAAATCCTTCTCAAGGAATTTGCCACAGAAAGGCTGCTAGAGTGCAATCACCTCTGCTTTCTAGAATTAAAGGACCTCAGAATTTGGCAAAGAGAATAGGTAGGAAGTCGATTGAAGAAACTGGGAGCTTTGAGTGGGTTGACATTCAMWATCAAGAAGCAGAATGCAATTTATTTGGCGAGTGCCAAARGGAAACTTCTGATTTTGGTAACTGCAGAAGACAGTCATATGCAACCAAGCCTCAGAATATCGCAAAATTGGGGAATAAAGATGGAGATCGTTTGCTCGAAAAGTATGAAGATGAGGAAATGCAGGCATATGCAAGTGCAGGCATTCAGTTCCAAGTTGATTCGACTGCTTCAACTTTGCCACATCCAAAATTGGATATCTGTTCATTAGAGACATATGGGATGGACAACATTGAAATAGAGAACAAGTCCAACAAGGAATCAAATGAAAAATTAGCAGAGGAACCGTTTGGATCTAAGGATGATGAGGAGGATGCTCTTGACCAATTAGATATTGGTTTTAGTACTCAAATAGCTGCTGAGGCAATGGAAGCATTGTCTTATATCCCAGATAGTAACAAAACTATCAATGCTTGCAGTCCACAGAATGCCCTGGAGAATGTTCCATGCTATATGATAGAAGATAAACCTCATTTGAAWAATTCTTATCCTCAAAAGATAGGAGGCATTGTTAGAAAATCAAAGCGAACGCTACAATCCAAGAGGAAGTTTAATGCAAAGTGTTTGAATACATATGAGGCGCAGTATGATTGTCAAAAGTTAGAATCTGTTTTGATAAATAAGAGAAAAGCAAAGAGAGGTAGATTGGCAGTGCAGGGAAAATTAAGTTATAGAAATTCTCCTGATGGGAGCAATTATTCAGCCACATCTTCCAATCTACTCAGCTATACAGGTAGTTGCCAACTGAGTCAGCAAGGTCCCACAAATGGAAATCAAGTTCCCATCACCGGTATGATGCATGGAATATGGAGTCACCCCAGAAGGAGAAGAACACCTCGCAACTTGCATAGTCATCCAAATGAATCGAGCAATCAGAATAACACTTTTTTAGCAGTTGATGGAAGATGCAGCAATTCCATCTTAATGAAAAATGGGACAAAGGCACAGAAGAATCAGGAAATGAAGAAACCAATCTCAATCTTAAGTTCTTATCCACATCGACAATCTTTTATATATAATTCTGACAGATACCTGGCAGACCAGGTTTATGATAAATCAAATTCAGCAGGCAGGAATTTTCTCAGTAAGTTAGCTGTTCTAATTAGGAGAATTAATCTGCAAGTTCTGCGTGTTTCCTAGGGATTCATGCAAGTTAATTAAGCAATGTGCAAAAAAGGAACTATATTTTTGGAATGCATTGCATGAGACAAAATTGTAATCATTGTTTGAGACGATAAAATTTGGGTCTCTGTTTATAATAGGATAACGTGATCCTGGTTCAATAACATGCTATGTTATACCACAGGGAAAAAGACATCAAGAAGGTCCAGCTCCAGAAATGATGATTATCACAAAACAACTATTGACAAAATTCTACCAAAGTCGTCTTCTAAGGAGCTTGCAAGATTAGGTGTCTCAGAGTCCATGCCTGATCTTAGATGGAAAGATTTGAGGAGAAGAAGAACAATGGCTTTGGTAAAAGTGTGTTTTAGCCAGCATTTGGATGAAATAACTATCAAACAACAAAAAAAGGTAAATTTGTACTTTTTCTTTCTTATGGACAACCAAAATTTTCCAGAACGTGTATTTACCATGTGCTTTTCTTCGTTAATAGGTTGCCTTACAACTGGGTATATCAATTGCATCGAGTTCTGCAGATGCAACACATTTTGTAGCCGATAAATTTGTTCGTACTAGGAACATGTTGGAGGCCATTGCCCTTGGTAAACCAGTGGTTACACATTCATGGCTTGAAAGTTGTGGACAAGCAAGCTGTTTTATTGATGAAAAGAACTATATTCTACGAGATACTAAGAAGGAGAAGGAGATCGGTTTTAACTTGCCTGTTTCCTTATCTCGTGCTACCCAACGCCCACTTCTAAAGGTGAAATGTTTTTGTTTTCTTTTGTTTTCCATCTAGATTAAGGCTCTTTTCTTAGTAGATATATCATTAATGCTATATATTGAGATATTTTTCATTTTTCCTCTTTGATCCTACTTAACAGGGTCTCAGAGTTCTTGTCACCCCAAATATAAGACCTGATAAAGAAATCATAACTAGTTTGGTAAAGATGTCTCAGGGTGAGGTACTATAAATGCCTGTGCATTGGTATGATTGTTCTCAAATTGAATAATTGTTTATAGTATGTAAGGGCCCGTTTGGTAACGTTTCCGTTTCGTGTTTATGTTTCTTCATTTAAAATAAAGAAAAAATAGAATTGGATKGCTCSAACACCTACGAACTAAAGGATGATCAAACAATATTTATGTTTATGTTTTGTAATAACTAGAAACGGGAACGAGAAATAAGAAACTTGTTTTGGTTGTTTCCAAAATTGTTATACAATTTTGAAAATGTTTTAAAAAAAATGAGAAACAAGAAACATAATTAGTTGCAAAATACTTATGTTTTTTAATAAAACTGGAAACGAGAAACAAAACACGGGAACGCTACCAAACGAGCCTTAAGTTCCTACCTTTATCCATTGTTATCCTTTTTTGCATAAAGACGTTGGTCTTAAAATTTAAATGTCTTGCAGCCTGTTGAGAGGAGTCAGATTTTCACAGGGAAGGATGAACAGATCCCCGATGATCTACTTATTCTTTCTTGCGAAGAAGATTATGAGAACTGTGTTCCTTTCCTCAGAAAAGGTATGGGCTTATCACTTGTCCCCTTCCCACACTCCTGGTTTCTTAAAGAGTAATACAAGAATAATGCTGGAGCAACTATTTGCAGGAGTAAGAGTTTACAGTTTGGAGCTTCTACTGAATGGGATAGTTATCCAGAAACTTGAACACAAACGGTTAGTATTTTCCACACAAACCATACAATTTAAAGAGCATGATGCAGAGGTTGAATCTAGCGATATACTTGCTTGCTAATTAACTTAACAATGATTCAAGGGTTGCATTAGCTTGATTTTCCCTCAGGATTAGATGAGTATATCCATCCATTAAGTAGAGTTAGGTTGGAACAAATAAGTTGGGGAGCTGAAGCTAAATGAAATTAAACTGTGTTTGGAATGAGTTTTGAATGGGTGAAAAGTGTTTTTAGCCCATTAAAAGAAATTTCAAAATTTTTGTAGTGTTTAATTAGATAATCAAGAGTAATTTTGAAAGTTTAGGAGAAGCAGATAACTAGTTCTAAAATTATTTGTAAAAGGAGCATCTTGTACGTTTTACTCTTTGTGCTCTCTCTCTCTCTCTCTCTCTCACATCTCACATCTCACCGAGGAAGTGAGATTTTTTTTTTCTTTTTTTGGATTAAAATACATTTTTAATCTCTATACTTTCATTCAAGTAACGATTTAATCCATGAACTTTAGTTTGTAACGATTTAATCTTTGAATTTTAGTACGTAGCAATTTGGTCAATATAGTTTACAATTGGTAACAATTTAGTCCCTACCGTGTAAATCTCATCCGATTTTTATTATATTACAATTTAGTCTTAATTTATAATTTTTTTTTAATTCTTCGTCAGTTTATCAATCTACCTATATAAGAAACTATATTAAATCTTAGCAACATTTTTTTGCGTTAGAAACTTAATCATTACAAATTTTAAACTACGAAGACTACATTGTTACATATTAAAGTTTATGAACTAAATTTTTACCAATGTAAAATTATAAGAACTAAATTAGTACTAGCTAAATCYTAATGATTAAATCATTACTTCGATGATACTACAATGATCGTTTTTTAAACTTTTTTTTTTACATCTAATTTAGACTTTCCATTAATAGGTATGAGCTCTTCATAGAACGCTGGATAGGTTTTGTGACAGCCAAGACCAATAGAGAAGTGTAATTACTATTTTCTTTTCTTTTTGCTTCTATGGAAATGCTATAAAACATGGCTTATGGGTTACGTATTTCCCCTCTTTAACTGATAATTCTTCRTATCTTTGAGAGATTTTGGAAAGACTGAAACTTTGTTCAGATTTTCTTCCTATTACGAATGTCCATCAAGAATATTATTGTTGGGGGGCTTTTGGGCTTAATAGTTGTAGCATAAAATGCTTAAGGGTAAGTAATTACCGAAATTGTCCACTGGATTGAGTTTTTAGTCATTCAAATACTACAGATATTAATGTTCAATTTTATTTAGAGAAACAAAAGAGATTTCTTTTGAAACATAAAAATCAAATAACAAAGTGATTAAGAGACTCTAAGGAAAACTTTTATGGAGAACGGGTCTTAGGGAAGTGATTTCACCAGAAAAATTAAACATGCCGAGATTGAATATACAATTAATCTATAAGTCAAGAAATCATRAATCGTAACTGTTTTTTCTGAGCACAATTAATTCTCCAACTTGTTAAGAAATCAATATCATTATCTAGTTTCATTAATAAGCTAGACTTGAAGTCTTATTCTTTTAACAACTTTTAAAGTAATTCTAAATTTCTTATCTTAGAAATACCTCAGTGATGCATTTAAGTTCCAATCTAAATCACTTCTCTYGAGAATTCGTGATCAAGAGATTAGAGATTAAATGTATTAAGCAAATAAATGCACAAATAGATTAAGTACAAATCAATTGAGATGATTATTAATAAACCCAACTCATAAATTTAGCGTCTATATCAATCTCTAGAATAAGAAATTTAGTTGTCTATGTTCATGAAAATACAACAAAATCTCATTGAGAATTTCATAATAAATCTAGAAAAGATAAGGCAAAGGTGAGAAGCTAAAGTCGTCGTGTCGAATGATCGTCTCCGACTCAATCTCCACAATCACTAGCTTTCCAAAATRGTCTCCTAGCCCTCATTGCTTAAACTTTCAAACCAATCCTCTCAAAAATTCAATTCCCAATGTAAGAGTGTATAAAGGTCCCCAAAATGGCGCACTAATCTTTTATTTATGAGAAGACATTGCTACAGCGCTGCGGTGCTGATGTGGTTGAATTAAGCTTTCATTTTTGCTCTAGTTTTCCTCTCAATTGATCGTTTATGCTCCAATTCTTTCTAATGGCTCRRYCCTGTAAAAACATCAGTTATGTACGTAAATAAGCCATAAATAATCAAAAATTGCCAAATAATTCCTTCTTGAATGTCATGAAAAGTGGTTTATAAAGTACACTATCAATAGTCCTTTTTCAGATATAGTATTGATTATTACCAATCTTTTTCAAAACTCATGTTTTTTAATCTTTTGCTGACTCCACTAACTTGGGTAATACAAATAGACYCAATTTCAAGGATTTTTGGGCTGAATAGTCATTTTCCCAACACGGTATTGTTTTTTACCCATGTTTTCTAATTTTTGATGATATCATCCAGGATACTAAATGATCCTCACTSCCCCACTGCCAACTACTTAAATTTTCTCTTCCTTATTTGAAAACAATGCATTTTCTCTCTCTCCCTTATCTTGTCTTCGTTCTCTCTCTTATCTTTTTGCTTCTCTTTTATTTTTCCTCAATTTCTCTATCAGGGTCTTCTCCTTGTGTGTTTCTTCTCTCCATTATTCTTTTTTCTCTCTCTATTGTTCCTATCTGACCTAGCCCCTACCTAGATTTTTAGTCTTATGTGGGATATTCGGGTGGGTTATTCGAAATCTACAGTTTGTACTATTTCGCATGGTATTTGACCTCTCTAACACTAGGCCTACGTTGGGTTTCTTCAGATGTTTATTATATGTGGGTTGTTATGTGTTTGTTTGAACTGTTAATAGATTGAGGGAAAAGTTGATGGGGTAGAGAGAGAGAGAGCGAGAAAGCAAGCAAGCGACCGAGAGAGATAATAGTGAGACATTTTATCGAGGCACTTCTTTTTTCATTGTTGTTATTCCTATTTTGTTTAATTAATTTATTTGTTTAATTATATTTCTACAACCATGTTTGAATCATATGTAATCGTTGATAAGAGAAACAATACATTATTTTCTGTTTGAAGTTTACTGACTAGATAACAATATGATTTTGCTGTTTAAAATCCATTAGTCAACATGTGTAGACACAAACAAAATATCACTTAGCTGCGTAAGAAAAAATATATATAAAGGTAATAAAACTCAACAAACCTACAACCACAATGCCCCTAATGCCCCCAAATGTGACTCCAACATTGCAACTCTATCTTTTAGTTCCTGCTTCTCCTCGGATCGGTTTGCCTGTTCACACTCTTCCTTTACAAGATGTTCCAAATATTTAATATGTCCTTCATTYCTTCGCAACTGAAATTGTGCTGAGTATAATAACTACCTATTCTTGCAACGTGGTTTCCTCTCATCTTTCAAGTCAGCCTTCGTTGTATCTTCATATGGACTTCCCCTATATGGTCTAATATAGAAAAGAATGCTTTGGTGGAGAATAGAAGAGAATAGAAGAGAGTTTGATAGACTTGTATATTAAGTTGGAAGAGACATGAAAATCTGATTCATTGAATGTGGTTAGGTGAATGATTATTAAATAAAATGGGGTGACATTTATTGGATGTGAGTTTTGAAACACACCCATGCACGTGGGGAAGGCAAACAGACCGAGGGAAAGAGAATGCAATACACGATGAGTCAACATCTTTTTTTGTAAATTTAAGAAAACTTGAAATAAAAATAAAAAATTTAGGATGATGAAGAGTTCTAAAACTTATTACAATGAAATGGTAGTACTAGATTTAAAGGGAAGTGATCTTGATGGTGGCATGTACCCTGCAAGGGATCAAACATGGGATTCTAATTCGGCTACTTTGTCTGCGAGGTGTAGTCTAAGGTTGCGCTCTTAATTGAGCATTGTTTCGAGTAAATCTCGTGTTCTCTCGGTTTCCCTTAATTTTTATTTCATGTTGTTGAGATCATGCTGCACTCTACGAAGTTCTTTCTTTAGTGTTTCGATTTCCTGCTGTGCTTGTTGAATTGCAACATGTGTAGCATCAATTGAATTATTTTCTCCCATTAATGAGGCATGATTGATTAAGGGACTCGTTGCCTCGTCTGATGACATTGTGTGATGAMAAATGATTGCTAAATAGTGAGTGAGTTTTGAGTTTTACATACATATATATAGGAGGAATGGAGATGGATGTGAAGGGTCACAATGGTTGGTTGATACTTAATGCAACTTTGGATACAGCATGGGAGAATGCAACAATTTTCGTTTCCCATGTGTTGGGAATTTGAAAGGTCGTCGTTTTCTTCTGTGAGACAACGAAAAGAAGTGAGAGCCAGAGATAGGGAGAGAGCAAGAGAGTGAGACCAAGAGAGAGAAAGCAAGAACGAGAAGGAGACCAATGTCTTACTCTGTGTATCCCTAACATAACTCAAAACAGTAGCAAACTGTACAAGATAATACAAATGTATTCAACAATGACCTGTATATAGAGAATAAGAATTCGGGCTCACTAAGAGGAACATACACCATGAAATCATTACCCCTTCTATGTCAATAAACGTGGGTGTTGATATTATTGGGTTATTACATGTCTGCCTATTGTGACCTGTTCTGCCATACCGACTACACTTGTTTACACGGCGGCGCTCGTTGTCCGATGGGATTCTATGCATCCTACGTCGACTGACTCGTTAACAAATCCTGCTGGTTTGATGGTCCGAGGTTGGTATTCTACAAGTTTTTTCCATTCTAACATGTGGACATAAGTAAGATTGGTTCTGCGTATGCTGCAACTAGTGCATCCACACCATAGCATGCATTGACTAACGTGTGTGAATTTATATTCTTGTGTCTCGCTACTGCTATAGCGTGCGAACATGGTATTTGCAGGTACTGGAACTCCATGCTTGTACATGTACCAGCATTAAGATCAACAATCTCATCCAAGCCTCCATCTTCAATGAAATTTGCACCAGTCAATTGGTTTTACATTGTATCGACGTTACTTCTCAAACTGTAATGCATGTCGCTCYTCAGTGTAGTTTGAATGAGAAGTGGTTCGAATAGACYAGTAATTCTTCTATCGTGGAACCATCTTTATAGTAGGTCGCGTATAAATTCAAGAATTAATGTGACCGGTAATTCTCATGCTTCTCTAAGGATAACGTTCATTGATTCTACACTGTTCGTTGTCATATTTTCATACCTTCTATCGACCTGGTAGTACCACTCCCACTGTTCTATCCCAATTTCTTATAAGTATTATGCTAATGAACCACCTCCAACTGATAGTATTTGGTTCTAATAGTGAATGAACTGCGACTCRCAACATGCAGAGGCTCCATCAAGATACAATTTGGTTGATGCACTATTCTTGAATCGAGATTTTATGTTGTCAGAAAGGTGGTAAGTGCATRTACTGTAAAATGTGTTCGGGAATGTTTCACTCGTTGCATTTGTTATGCTGACGTGACGATTAGATATGAATACCAAGTCTTCTGGTTCCTCAATGATGTCCTTCAAGTTTTTCATGAACCACTTCTAAGAAGTATTACTTTCGTTGTCTACAATCGCAAATGCAAGTGGATATATCTGATTATTCTCGTCCAATAACACCTCTTTGCACTTCTCCTTCAGATGCATGCCATCAACCATAGTTACTTGTCATATCAGTGTTTTAAACTCTCTAATGCTGGCTCCCATGACCATGAACATATATTTGAAGTTAACAGAATCTTCAGTCTGGATGTGGAAAACGGTACCTGGATTCTCTATTTTGAGTGTCTCACTGTATGCATACATGGGTGTACGAGTCCTCAGGCCGCCTTCTAACAATATTGTGTGCTAGTTTCGTGCTTGATAGACTTTGTCGTAATTTATGTTCACATCGAATTTTTTCCAGACATCATCCTTGATGTGTTGTATCTTGTAAGTGTGATCGGTTCCGCTAAGCCTATCCTTTATAAGATTAGTTATTATCCAACAGCTAGTCTATCTTTGATCGTGATTCAAGATGTCTACTGAGCAAGTTTGTTCATCAACATACTTCGAAACACAAAATATCGAAGACGTATCGACGGAGTGTGCTACAACTCTTCATTTGCATGAATTGTCAATGCATCGAATAGCAAAAATTGATCTCGTTGACTTCACTCTGTATTCAAAGTTGTTGCGCATTGCTACATTAGCTAGCACCATTCACAGGTCATGCTTCGAAACGAATATCTTCCCCACGTGTAAGTCAGCTCTCTTGGGAAAAGGTTATGTAAGGTCAGCTGCTCTCCGGTCACTAGACGTGTGGATGGAGTTCTTTGTGTAGACTACCAGTGGTGGCTTGTGTGGATGTCGATTTGACGGATCATGATACGGGTTATTGTCCTGAACTTGTAGTCGGTACTTCCTCTAGAACATTCAATGCATTTGATGTGCTTGGTGGTAAAGAAGTCATGCCTTAGTAATATGTCTCGCTCTCATCTCTCATTCTAGCTCTTTCGATTGCTTGCTTTCGCACTCTTTTACTCTCACTCTCGCTATTTTTCTCTTTCACGCAATCCATCTCGCCATCTCTCTCTCTCCGTTAACTTCTCTTTGTTCTATTAATAGTTCAAACAAACTCGTAACAATCCACGTATAATGAACATGAAAAGAAGCCCAACGCAGACCTAGTGTTAGAGAGGTCTAATACCATGCAAAATAGTACTAGATTTCGAACGACCCATCCAAATATCCCACGGAATCGAATAGAAACAATAGGGAGAAGAAAGAATAATGGAAAGGAGAAAGACAAAGGGAGAAGACCATGACAAAGAAAATGAAGAAAAAATAAGAGAGAGAGTGAAGACGAGAGAGAGGCAAAAATGCAGTGTTTTYAAATAAGAGAGGAAAAATCTAAAAAGTTAGGGCCTAAACAAAAGTCGGATAACTAATGTGTTGGAAAAAGTGCTATACAGCCCAAAAGAACCCACATCATGCACTGTTTGTTCTCTTCTATGGACATCAACATGCCAAAATATTTTTGTTGGGAAATGAATTTTTTTTTAAACCCTATAAGRTGATACATTAGCCATGYTGCAATTATTAAAAGATAAGAAAAAGTTATAAGAACTAACCATTCAGTTTGCACGTAAACATTATTTTTACCATGTCAACCCAAAAAGTAACTCGAGGTAGACACACTGTTTGAATATAATTGGACCAACTTTATAGTATCAATAAAAATCACATTTTTTAAAGAAATATTTGAGATTAAGGTTGATAAATGACATGATCTAAYGTATTCGCTAATTCAAGCATGACTTAATAGATAAAATTTGCATATTACTTTATTTTAGATTGAAGGTTTGGTTACCCACCCTAATAGGGTGACCCTATAAATCGAAAACTAAAAGTAAAAACTCGGTTTAACAAATTTTAAATTGCCCAATTTACCATACAATCATGACGTATTTTACCTCCAAACAAGTAGCAAGGTGAAACCACCAAAATTATTTCCTTTGCTAATCTGGTAAATGAACTTCTCTACATTAAACAACCTCCCACCTCCACAGGTAATCAATTTTCTTCCACGTGAAGAATCTGTTTTCTCAGTTGCATTGGAAGCTTTGAAATATCATACATAAACAGCACAAAAATTAGAAAGCTCTAATGATTAGACTCAGAAGGTTGAGCCATTGTGGTAAAACTATCATACCCTCCGCTTCCTGGTGCTGCTGGATTTCCTTGATACATTGAGGGTGCGCCCATCGAGGCGCCATTAGTCGAAGTTGGTTGCGGTGTGCTACCTGGAACTGGCACTGGTGCTGGAGGAGGCGGCCTGGTAGGCATGTTCACGTGGCCAGGCATAGGAGCTCCCGGTGGGGCCATCATAGGTGGCATTGTAGGAGTAGGTAGATATCCTATGTTAACAGAGGAGAGGAGTTCAATCAATTCGATGCATAGTATAGAATGCCATTCCTACTGCAGGTTATACCTAATTCCATTCAGGAGTGCAAGATAAAGTTGAAAAGCCCGACGGACTCAAAGTCGGGTTGGGTTGATTTGGAGTATAGTTGTCAGTCGGTTTAATTTTCTATAGTATAAAATGATAAGTAGCCACTCAGTTTGGTTTTTTAAAAATTGGTCTTGGCATTGGTTTTTCATTTTTAATTACTATGTTGATCCAACGTTAGTTTTGGCCAAGAGCCGACCTCCTCAGACCCTAGTAAGGACATCAAGATTTTGAGGATCAGCTGAATCAAGTAGCATACTCAAGAGTCAACCTAACAACATAACATCCTTTAAAGAAAGAGACTCCAATCTAAGAGAATAACACCTAACTATTAATTACAAAAACTCTAAGAAACTGACCCYGGAGTATTAAATCTGWTAAGCTCCAAAAAATGGATCTATCTACCTCCTAAAGGAGAGTAGTACTAGTAACTAGTAAACCTACATTGCTCTCATCACCTACCAGGTCATATTCTAATGAAATTTCATCTATTGCGCGTTGAGCGGAAAGGAATGAACATCCTTTCTGTACCAATAGAATTATTTGCAACCAGACAGAAAGGTATCAAATTATCCTTGGGCATTTACAATGCTGAAGAATTATCTCCAATATTCTAATTAATAATAATTACTTTTAACTATTTTTAGCTTTTTACTGATCAAAAAGCATAACAATGTGGTTTTAGTAGGTTTAAGTGCAAAATAAGGAACAACAAAACCAAATGAATATGCAATATGCATAAAAAATTGCCGAATCTAAAAGGTATCAGTTATGTGAATTTTACCTKGAGCACCAGGCATTGGTCTTGGCAAAACTGGAGGCCTAATGCCCGGCATTAACGGTGCAGCTCCTGGCATTACAGGAGTAGGTAGTACAGGAAGACGAGGTCTTTGACCAAGTAAATGTTGATTATAGGCTGCACCAACCTGCTGGAATGCTGCTGCTTGACCGAGATGTTCCTTGATCCTCTGGTCAATTAAACTTTGGGTTTGTTGCTCCTCAAATTGCTGGTAGTATGATCGCACGTTTGCCTGGAGTGCATCCAGAAATCAGGAATTAAGAGTCTGTTCTTCRTTTTTTCTTTAAAATGTTCTCAAATTATTTCCAGTTCTTTCAGTTGAAAAAATGAAAAGATATATTAAGTATTTCCGTGAAATTTTCAATAACAATATACGTAAAGATACTATTCATAATAAATCACTTATCGTATTTCAGTAAACAGAGAGCAAGCACTAAATAACTATAAAAGCTTACCTATGTTTTTCCCCTTCTAAAAGTGTTTCTAAAACTACAACCAATCAAGTTTTTAAAGTCTGAAAGTGGTTTTGTTTTTTAAAAACATAAAACTACTATTAAATTTGACTTCTGAAATGGTCCGATGAGTTCTTCAACAATTGGAATGCTATGCTAAATTGAAACGTGGACAAGATTAAGATACCTTATGTTTGTAGCCTGCATTATGCTGCTTCCTCACAGATGGCTGAGATACCAAAAAGACTAAATATGAGCAACAAGAAGAAGGGCCTACTCAAACAGAAAAGACTTAAGAACCAAATATTACTGTATCTAGAACACTATAAGTAATAAAATGCAATTCARATAAACCATTAAAAGTTGTACAAACCAATCTTAGTTTGAAAGAAACTAAAGGCATGGCATATTTGGTTTGAGAGCAAGTGTTTTGTGTGTTTCCATCRTTAAATCATGGCCTAGGGCATGCATTTTTTCTAAAGAAATCAAAGACTTAAATAAGAGAAAGGAAAGCACTTTGATAAAGACTCATGCAGCTTCRTGAAGTGCTCTCTCTAAAGCCTTTCACAATTAGGGTGTGTTTGGGAGTGATTTTGACATCGCCATTGTCAAAATCACTTCYCTTTCCATGGATCATGTTTTGCAAATWAATAAATTGATTTTTGAGGTATTACTTGGATAGTGATTTTGAAAAATCAGTTATACTTCCCTTGAAATATTTGTTTCATACAAAAAAAACAATTATACTTAAATCTCTTTTTTCAAAATCACTCATCCTACCATTACCCACAAACACACCCTTACAGCTTACTCATTTTCTAAGATAAATTATGGCTGGGAAGCCTTCTATAACTTGTTCCGATTGCAAGTAATCTTTAGCTTCCGCTTTRAGTTTTAGTAGTTTCTACTCTAAAAGGAGTCCTTTGATCATAACTTTCCCATTAGCAACACGCATCACACAAACCAATCTGCGTACACTCAACATCAGGAACACTGAAATTCAGTAAAAATAAAAAAAGCCACAAACAGTAGATTTGATCCACTGAGCATAAACATAAGAATTCGATCTAACCCCAGTACCGATCACAGTAATATCAAGTAAACTTTTCTAAAATTCCTTCGAGCAACTGATAGGTGCACTACAAAATTTTTAAAAAATCATTAACCGCACAACATCCCCCAGAACAAAGACAGAACTGCAATGTCGGCGAAGGAAACCCCAAAAAGAAAAGTCCTAACAAATCTAGCAGCGATAATCAAAAGAATATTAAATGACATTGTTATCTGAATGAARCGATAGGACTTACAGAATCATGAGTCAGATATGTGTCACAATAGTCACAATAATACCTGCACACAAAGCGAAATCGGATCACTTAAACTTTAGCGAGAGGKAGGGAGATGTAATCGCCATAGAAGAAGATGGAGATGGAAGAACGCACCGAGGCATGGCGCTGGGTAGCTCGACGAAGCAACAATGGCAGACCTAACCAAAACCCTATCAGCGACTCTGCGAAAACGAGAGAGAGAGAGCGGAAGAAGCTTCTAGTGTATTTTGTAAATGAAATTTGATTGTTTGACAACAAAATTCTGCGCCATGGAGGTAATCAATCGGACGGCACCGGACGCTGCTGATTGGATTAATGCATCCGACGGTTGAAAATTGAGTTCAGTAATCTGGGTGCAAAATGGGTTCGGTTCGATTTAATCGACTGATAGTTCGGTTTCATAATTTAAAAGAACGAACCGACCGCTGTAAAGCATATCCGGTCTGGTTTATTCGTTCGGGTTTAACTGATCCGCTGGTGTTTTTTCAGTCTAAATCATTATAAAATAAAATTGTGTACGTKGTASGGTTTGAAAAAATATAAACTCATGACCTCTTGGTCAGAGATATATGTCAATTASCGCTGARYTATGCTCCTTATATTTCTACGACGGATTTTTMTGCAATCATRTTTGTTTGAATGAGATTGTTTATTCCATTATAATTTTGAACGTGTTCACGTAGTTTCARTATTTAAATTATGTCCCTRACTTTAGAGTATAGTAAATCTTAGTTCAAGTGGTTAAGACATCGATAAAAAAGTTGAGAGTTCAAATTCCAACTCTCGTGATATACTAAAAGAAACTTTGAATTGTGATAGTATTATACATCATTCTTTTCATTGGCACTTACGAGTACACGATAACATGTTAATATAAATATATATGARTGGGAAGACACGRATAATCTTTCTTAAAGTAAAATATTAAAATCTCCACTCCCAATATTACAAATATGTATACGAACTCATGCARCATGTTTGATGTATGTATACTAGTTAAACACGATCTAATTGATATTAGTATRGCTCAATAATAATTATTTGCCTTCTTAAAAGTTTGATTCGATATATTATGACACTTAATTTCGCTTGATCGAGACATTAGTCACATTTTTTARYGAGCAAAGTGTCATGTTAATATTTCGATCGAAATAAATGAGACATTCGASGGTGTAAAGACTAAAATACAGTTTGAAACTATATAAATCAAAATGTACCAATGTCATAAATTTAAACCTAAATTAAATTAAATTAAACTCAGTTCATCTAATTTTGTTCTCAGTACACCCAGTTGAGTTGGGATAAATAACTGTCTCATCGTCGTTGCATGCCAAAGAAAGAAAGGTGGGTGCAATGRGAAAATTAGCGGGTGCGAATAGAAGCAAACCGCCCCCTATATAAATCTGGTGGCAGCTTTCAATTTCTCAAATTGGAAAAAAAGAACAAGGGAAATGGTTAACGAATCTTCTTACCACGAATCCTCGAATTCAGGTTCTCTGTCATTTTTATTTTCTTAATTAATTGTTTCCATTTGTTTATTATTGTTCCAATTGGAATTTGGATCTCTCTTCTGTTTGGATGAGGTGAAAAGCAATGGCACGTTTCTCGATTCCAGAATCATTCTTCTATTGTTACTTTTTTGGTCCAGCTGATCTTATTTGTGGCTGAATTTCGATAAATTTCGAATGATTTTTGTATTTTCGATTTGTATCCAGGAGTTTTGGTGCGCAATGAGAAGCGGAATTGGGCGGTTTCTCCGTCTGATGTTGTTTATCATTTTGGAACCAGTGGGCTCTCCGTCGCGGTCGCCACCGCCGTTACTCACCCTTTAGGTCTCTCTCTCTCTCTCTCTGTCTTCCTTTTTCCCTTAAACTCTGTAATTATTTCTCTTGGGTACTTGCTTTTGTGGGTCCGGAATCTGAAATCCAGACTTCAGTGTTGGGTGCTTTGCGGTATGTGGGCTATTAAATGTATACCATTCTTGTAAGCTGCAAGGTCTTGGTGGACCTTAAATTGAATCTGATGCAACCGTTTTGTTTTCTTTTAGTTACCCCTATAGTGAATGTGTTGGTTTGTGAGACTTTATAAAGAAAATTCTTTTGGTAACTGTCAAACTGATAATAATCATTTATCGATGTGTAGCATTTCATTTGCATTACCTTTGTGGTTTTTTTCCGTCAGTACAACAACATGTGGGGTGGATATTCAAACCCACCACATTTTTTGATTGGTGATATATGCGTTACCCACTATTTGCAAGGYTTAAGTTGGCTTCTCTGTAGCGTTAGTGCTAGTGTTTTCTAGTTTTTTCAACATGGTTATTTTGAGATGAATTGAAATAGTAGTGCATGGTATGGTACACGCKACATTTCATACATGTACGACGAATGGTCAGAAACCAGGATGTCATCAGCAGATAACATAAATCTGAAGAAGAATGAATTGGCTGTTTTTTGGTGGTTACTATTGATGTAACCCTTTCATATTTTCGAACCATAGAGAAGAATCCTACTAACCCGAGCATAATTCAACTGGTTAAGACATATTTTTTATTAAAGGTTGTGGGTTCAAAACCYCATCCCCTCATGTTGTACTAAAAAAAACACGAAGGATCCTAATTTTCATAAGAAAAGAGAGAGAGGATAAATTGATCCTACTGCCAACAAACAGTGATCTTAAATTTTTTACAGCTTGTATGCAGATGTACTTAAAGTTAGGTTGCAAATGCAACTTGTGGGGCAGAGAGGACCTTTGACTGGAATGGTATTCACGTTTTTCTTATAAGAATGCCACTTTGTTTCCTTGAACTCTGTCATTCTATAATATATTAATTAAGATTGTACATAGGGACGACTGTTTGTGCAACTGTTGAATAATGAAGGGCCAAGGTCTTTGTATTTGGGGTTGTCACCAGCGCTGACAAGATCAGTTCTCTATGGAGGTCTTCGTTTAGGCTTATACGAACCGTCAAAGTATGCTTACGATTTGCTTTTTGGGTCTACTAATATCTTTGTTAAAATCGGATCTGGAGCAATTTCTGGTKCAGTGGCAACCGCTCTCACCAATCCAGTCGAAGTTCTCAAGGTGAAAATTGATATTGCCTCACATTACTTAGCTTTCCAATTATAGCTTGATCTTAAAGTTATTTACTGYTGGCAGGTCCGATTACAAATGAATCCAAATTCGACCGGAGGACCTATCAAAGAAATGTCCAGAATAGTAACCGAGGAGGGACTAAAAGCTCTTTGGAAGGGGGTTGGCCCTGCTATGGCCAGAGCAGGTGCTTTGACAGCATCTCAGCTGGCAACATATGACGAATCTAAGCAGGTCTATTTCTAAGCATGATATTTTCTTGGATATACATGAAGTGTACACAGTTTCTGATTTTTGTAACTATATATATCATATATGCAGTAGTTCAGCAAGCTTATTTCTCCAATGCTTTTTGATTCCCAATGTTTTCCCTTGGTGTATTTTTCAGGTTTTGGTTAAGTGGACACCCTTACAAGAAGGATTTCCTCTGCATCTCATGTATGGAACTATCTATAGMCATGTTCTGTCCATCTATATTTTACTTTCCTTTTCTCAAGAGCCTCAAAACCCACTTAATTCAAAATGAAATACTCCCTAATGGAAAATGAATTTTTTTTAAGGTAATAAACTATAATATTAACAGAAACAGTTACATAGTGGCTAACACGACAAGGAGTCTGGCCTTAAACAAGCATTTGGAGTTTTAAGGTAAGTAAGTTATAAAATGAATACGACAAAGGGAAATTATAAGTTTCTGTTGATGGAAGCCGAAGCCCAAAGGGAGACCATCAAATGAATATGATCTTAAACCTCAGTCCTTTTATTTATTAAAATAATAAATCTATTTCTTCAAATACCCCAAAGGATGTCTAAAATTCAATTKGATCCTAAAGGATCTGAATCTGGTTCGGGACTTAGGGCCTCTGACTGATTTGATGTAAAAGATCATCTATGAATTCGTGGGAACACCGAATGGCTGCCCAAGTATCAAGAAAGGTCCCTTCAAGTTTTAATGTTCTTTTGTCCRACAATAACCRACTGAGCATTTCTGTAAGTATTAAATAGACTTTTCATCTTTAAACATTAGCTTGTTTAGTTGTCAATTGGTGAGTCCTTTGCTTTGTTTTAAGATYCACCTGCCATCTCAACCCAATTCTACCAATTGGCAGATGCTTCCTTTTCTTTTTATTTTTACCGAGAGGTTATCCRCCACTTGAATTTTATTAACAAAATATTTTTCAGTTGTCTCAAACTCAATTGTTTAAATTCTTGATTGACTGTTCATACTTCATAGTATATACCAATGACTTACTACCATGTGTTGCACCTCTGTGAAGCTCAAGTGCAGTAGCAGGCGTGGTGAGTACTCTCATGACAACACCTATTGACATGATTAAAACACGTCTTATGTTACAACGAGAGTCTAAAAAAGCTGGAAACTACAAGAATGGACTTCATTGCGCATATCAGGTATTTGACTTGCCATTTTTCCTCTTGTCCTTTGTTTTGCATCGAAAATTTCTTCTTSATGTGCAAATAGGCATGGTACATTGCATTTTTACTCCTAAGAAACTGATTGTTTATCCATTTCCCTCCCGTTTAAATCTATGCATTTTTCTGCATTAAATAATGTTAGCAAATGTGGGAGGTGGAAAATTTATGTAGTGCCCTTTTCTAACTTCTTGTAGGCTTTCCTCTTTTGATCAATACATTTTCTCCATGTCCCTTTTCAACTTTGATTGTTGTTCTTGTGATGCCATTAGGTTTCTTCCCCAAATATTTGAACCTATCCCTCTCTATCCTGGTGGTGACAAATTGATGTTTACAGGCAGGTTTCTTTAAGAGAGAAGATTTTATTACAGGGAATGTTTGATTCTCCTTGAGCCCTGATTTCRTTACTCTCCAGTATCTCGTCCTTGATAATTAAAGAAGAATTCCTATGGTTCATAATTTCTTGTCTACGTCTCACAATATTGACATGCTTCAGAAAGCATGCCCATTTTTGCCCATTTTGTCTATTTTAAGGGCCTGTTTTCTGGGTTCACTTGTGATCAACATTGTGATTCCTTGCTGCTTTAGTGAGCTTAGTATTATTTTCCATTTTTTGGTTGTTTTCACGACTCATTCTCGTTTTGCATAGCGATGACGTTCTTGTCTACGTCTCACAATATCGACATGCCTCAGAAAGCATGCCTATTTTAAGGGCCCATTTTCTGGGTTCACTTGTGATCTCCATTGTGATTCCTTGTTGCTTTAGCGAGCTTAGTATTATTTTCCATTTTCACGTTCTTTTCATGACTCATTCTCGTTTTGCTTAGCGATGACGTACGTGTAAATCAGCTTAAAGTCTTTTGCTTGTCTGCTCTGATCATGCGTTTGTGGAATCAATTTCAGGTTATGCTAACTGAAGGGCCTCTTGCACTTTACAAAGGGTGAGTGTACTTTTCCAAATCCCCCTTTCTTTCAATCGGTGAGCAGACAAAGTACAGACATGATTTTATTTGCATAATGAAGTACTTTATAGAGCTGTTCCACTGTTTCGAAGTATGCAAAGAAACAGCATTTTATGAGACTTTAAAAGTGCTTTTGTCGAAGATGAATTCAATTATTRGCTGGTTTCTGAGTCAGAATAATTTTCAGGGGGCTAGCCATTTTTGCAAGATTGGGTCCACAAACCACAATCACATTCATAGTCTGCGAGAAGTTACGCCAGCTTGCAGGATTAAATGCAATCTAGATGTGATAAATGTGCARTTACAAGCAGACACGTTAAACCAACTATATTGACTGAGAGCACCAAATTGCAAATAAAGCCCCAAGTGAGAACATTTAATTTCTTTTTCACCCCCACAACAACMGATGAACCCTSGTATTACGACCTTACTTGAACAGGATCTGTTCTATARGTTGTACATTTACTGTTGAACCGTCGTATTGTTTCTTTACTCATCCCCTCCCAACTGGGTCTTAGCTTAGAGGCCCTTCTCTCACCATATTATGTTTATAGGTCACCCCAGTACAGCCACAKGTAGTAGATAAMAAGGGATTTTAAATTATTAAACTTTCGTTACGGAGTTTGAAGTTAGTACTTTGGAGAATAATTTCCAGCCACCCGAGGTGGCGGGGGCTTCCACGTACAAGTATTGTTTGCATTCCTTGAAAAGGATCGGGTCGGGTTGGTTTSGTTTGGTTTGATTTTTATAGTGTATTGAGTTTCCTGTACTATACATTTCTTTTYTCTTTTCTGCTTGAGGCTCATATGATTTGTGAAAACTTGTCTCTTAGTTGACCCAGGCTGAATTGGACTTAATTTTGGTTTTGAGGGGGCATATTGAATTGGCACTCCTTGCTTTGCTTCCCTTCATTTACAATTTTAGGTGCAACCAACCCCAAGTTGTGTGTAATTGACTTCAAAGGAAATTGGACTCCAGCTATCATGACAGGTACTCTCTGTTATCTATTTCCAGCTTTTCCTCAACATTTCCCGTATCTTCTCTCTCTATTTTATTTCGTTGATGACTTTGATTCATTTTTGTCTTGTATTCTCTTTTTTGTTTGGTTGATTTTAGTCCATTGTTTTTCAAAACGTCTTTTGGKTTTTTACTTTTAAAAAGTGACCAATTTGGTTTATATTTACAAAATTTTATCATAATTTTATACACCGTAGAAATTCTTTAATTTAAATTGATTATTAAATTTCAAGAAATTTAGTGAATGAAGTATCATGTTAAAATTATTGTCCAAAAAAATGAGATGAAAATAATAATAAAACAAAAAATAGTAAAATTTGAAATAATAGTTATCCAGTAATTTAATCTTAAAGATAAGAAATTGAAATGACGTAACGAAATGGATGTCGATCTTGTTTGTCGAAAGGGAAAGTTCAAAAGGTCCACGTAAGCAGTGGGTTCTGCAGCCTATATCCACGTGGCAACAGTAGAAAAAGATACCAAATCAAACAATCAACTGTATTGATTTTTCTCTCACATTTTTTTTGGTGTCTTATTTTGAAACTCGGACTTGTTTTGCAAAATTTTCAACTCCAAATTATTTTCATTTTATTACATTCCAAAATAACTTGTCTTTAACTTTATGACTCTGATTAAGGTTCATCTAAATTTGTATAGTTTCTTCTTTTTTTTTTGTATTTAAATTTATTTTCTACTAATGTTTTCTCAATTAATTGTTATTAACTATTTAAACGTGTTATGTTTTTTAAATAATGCGTGTAATAAATAAATGAAAACAAAATAACAAAAATATCCTCCCAACTATATTTTAAAATTAAATCAGCATAAATTGTAAAAAAAAATGTAAAATTAGTTTGCAAGGTAAAGTTTTAAAAATATTTCAAGATGCACCCAAATTAAACTAAAGTTAAGATTTTAAATTGTAAAAAACTAAAATAAATAAAATGATATAGTTGAATGACCAAAATCAGAACTTCAAAAAACTTATGACTTAAAAGCAAAAAAAGACTTATTTTAGTTTATAAACTTTGCATCAAAACCTTTTTTTTTTTTGTAATAAACTTCTAACAAAAACTTGGCAAGTACATGGGTGCTGCTATTACCTCGAATTTTATGGTTGAGAATATATACTTTAACTCTAGTTAAGTTGTACACAGATTAACATAAAAAATTAATTCATATAGTTGGGTCAAATATCCTACATCATTCTTGTTGTAGCTGAACATGAACACGTTTTTTACGTGCACGTTTTTTTCTAAATTAGGGCCATGAGATACTAGTTTCTTTTTTATTTTTATTTTTATTTTTTTTGGAAATAATGGCCATGATATGAAGTCTGAGTATCAGGTATCTCTTATCAAAGTAAAGTTACTATGATGTCGACAAAAAATGTCACCTAAAAAAGTACTTATTTTAGAATGGTTAAATTACAAGTTCAACTCTTAAACTTTTCATTTTTTATCCAACAATATCTTAGACTTTTCAACTATGTATTTAATTAATTTGTGAAATTTTAGAAGTGTCTAAAAAAATGTCACATAGAACAAAAAAATTAATTACAAATCTCGATATTTAAACTTTCAATTTTATATTTCATTCAATCTTACCTACATCAAAACTCCCACCTTTCAAAATTAGCGCTAAATAAATTATTGAACTCTTAAAAACATTTAGTAGGTCAAAAATCTATAAACTCGAAAGTCAAGGAATGCACATTAGACACATCCGAGATTGTAACCAAAATCATAAGGACTAAATTGAAAAAAATACCGAGCAGAAGGACTAAAATGATAATGATGAGAATAGTAAAATTAAAAAAAAAAGTATGTATTGATATATATATATATATATATATATATATTTATAATGTGCAAGTTGGGGAATTGGCAGGAGAAAACAGCTTGGTGTCTCCGTGTTTTGGTGTTGGGGAGGAGAGAGAAAGTGAATATGTTTGGGCGTTGGCGGGACAGTCTGGCTTCCTCAACTCTTCACCCTCCATTTTACCTCTTATTTACAACCCTGCCACTCCTCTTCCGCAATTACCTTTTTGCCCCCCTACTCCACAAAACGGTACCACGGTCCACGATGCTTGCTTCTACGACTTTCCAAAGTTGGCCAACCCCCCGCCCTTCTCGGTTCAAATATTATCCTTTTATTTTATATATTGCCAGTTTAATTTCTAATTTCTTGACTAACATGAATTTAGCTCGATGGTAATAATGAATAAGTCATGTTGGGAGTGAAATATGACCGGGTGGTGTGTTAGATTTAAGAAGCGACAACAGACTTGATATGTAGTTTCCACCACAACCTGCAGAAACGACGGACTGGCAGGCGGTTGTGTGACATTGCACCCTAGTAATGTCCTCACCTGTACGTCATAATCCCGTACGATGACGCCCCCGTTGCGCCATGTACAAAATGTCCTCACTAATCAGCCATGAGCACTTATAAGAAGGAAAGAGTCACCGCCATCACAAAGTGAAAAAATGTCACTAATTTTCTATGGTGCTCTTTGTTACATTTTACTTTGATTACTAACTTGAGCGTCAAAGTCTATTAGGTGGAGCACCGCATTGGTATCGAGATTCGTTGTTGCAAACTCACTTTTACGATGACAGCTAGAAGGAAGGACGCGTAGACCTCTTCAAAATTCGCCATCAACAATATAAATTATCGTTGTTGAGGTTGGAGGTTTGATCTCACATCCCCACAATTTTCGAACTCTAAAAAAAAAAAAATTTGACTTGAAGGTAGAAGGTTCGAATTATGTCCGACAATTGTTTTAAAAAAATCGGTATTAGTATTTTTAGAGATTTTAACTTGATCATTAGAGTTTGGTTAAACCTCACAAATTATCTCTAAACTACTGTCTGGCTGCTAACAAACCTACTAATTTCTTTCCCCTCGTTTTCATGAGATTCAACACGTTTTGTTTTTTTTTTTGGTTATCCAATATTTTTAGGTTTAAAATCTAACTAACTTCTAGGAGAATCATGTCTAATTCAAGATTTAAAAACAAAAATTAAATATATAATTACGTTTTTTTTTACTCTGAGTTCTACTATTTTAGACCTTTAGAATTAAAGTACAATAAAATTATTAAATCCCATTTTAATTTAACAAAATCAAAATACTTATATTGAAAGAAAATTAAATTCGAAATTCAAAGCCGAACTGTATGATTGACTGCGGGAAACGGAACGGGATTTACATCAATTATTGAACAAAATTTCCTTTTATTTTTCCTAAAATGAAGGGCATAAACGTAATTAACCACACGCATAAATTATTACACCAACTTTCGCCTCTGGGAGTAAGAGGTAAAACAGCTGTAAGGGCAGTTTCGTAAATAAGTAGAAAAAGCGAGGCCAAATTACAGTCAATTTTAATTACTGTAATTCATTGAAGAGATCCAACTTTGCCATTCACAATCCCTCATTCTTTTTTTCTTCTCCGACGACTCTCTGAAGAAAATCCAATCTCACAGAGGAGAGAGAGAGGTTTTTTTAGAGAGAGAAAGCTTAAAACCGGCATTGATGGCGGAAGGTGTTAGAGAGAGAAGCGCGAGTCAGGAGGAGGAAGACAGCGTCAAACTCTTCGTTGGTCAAGTCCCGAAGCATATGTCCGAAACTCAGCTTCTCGCAATGTTCCAAGAGTTTGCTCTTGTAGACGAGGTCAACATCATCAGAGACAAGACCACTCGCGCCTCCCGAGGTTTTTGCTTTCATTACTTACTCACATTCTCTCTCTCTCTCTCTGTTTCTAATTCGTAATGTGCGATTCGTTTGATTTGGAGAGGAGTTGCGGACATTGTTTGCCGATTCACATTGTTAATTGATGAATTGAACCCTAAATTTGCTGTGCTTTGGGCTTGTTTGGTTACTACTGCATTTTCAGGCTGCTGTTTCGTGATATGTCCTTCGAGGCAAGAGGCGGATAAGGCGGTCAATGCTTGCCATAACAAAAAAACTTTACCTGGGGTTAGTGGAATCCGGATGTTTAGCTGTGAATAATTCTAATTTTGTTTCTCTCCTTTTTTGGTTTGTTTTTTTGTGTCTCTTCTCTCTTTCGTGTCGATAATGCTAATCAAATACGATTGATCGCTTCGATAGACTTGGCCTAGTGCGTAATCATCGATATCGATAACCTAGAAGTTTTAAAAGTCTTGGCTTTTCTGTAAAAGCTGCTTTCTAGTTTCTGACTACCGCACATTGTGATATATCCTATATTTAGAGTTAAAAAAATGAGCTAGGAAGCTCTCAACATCTCATGGACGCAACTCGAGCAGACCCTCGAAGCTTTCACTTTTTATCATTTCTTTTAAAAATTAAAATTCTTCAACTTTTTTTTTCAATATTAGTTTTATCAAATTATGCTTTACGAAATCAAACTCTAAACTCTCGAAGATAATACTGTTATCCTTCAGCATTGCANTCAAAAGAAGAGATATCTCCAATCCTAATATATAAATAATACCAATATGATTACAAAAAATATATATTTATAAAAAAAAAAAAAAAAAAAAGAACCTCTACAGATATGACTTACAAGATTGAGCTAAATAAGCCCTACAATGGAGCTGGAGTTGATCCCATTTTATGGTGTTGGTCTAAAATTTTGGAGCAATTATTTTCTGATGTAATTAATCTGCTTGTGATTAACCTTGTAAAGCTTCTCCTGTTTAATTTTCAATTGACATGGTGTCAATCATAGAGCGACAGGGTGCGATTTGAAGAAAATAACAAAAAGAATAATGCCACATGTTAGTATTTATTATGTGGGGTACAATATGGATTTTCAATAGATCAATAATATCACTGGTCACCATTGTTATGGTTAAATTATGTCAAAGTGCCGCGTTGGTTAGGAAATAATTGTAGAGCTGACTTGAAATAATTGTAGAGCTGACTTGAGACATTTTACCTGAAAGTACATTACCGATTCCTTTAGGAGCCTCTTAATGGAGTTTGTCAATTGATTAAATATTGGTGCAACGTTTAGGAAATAATCATAAGGTTGACACAAATCATTTATCTAGTTTATATAATTAATCCGGGCATTAATTTAGAACCTTAGATATTCTGAAATTTCAAGTGAATGTGAAGACATTCTCTATTCTGCCCTTGCCCTGGCCGTTGCACTAATTAAATTTGATCTTATAACCTGTCCTAAATCTTGTGATTGAATACATAGGACCAAGTCAAAACTAAAATATGCATAGCTAGACTGTAGGCAATTTCCCATATTACTTATATGCTACCATGAGTACTTTTAATTTATGTTTCTGTTAACTGTATAATTAAACAATGTTATTGTCAAATTGAGTAGTAACGACATGCTTTTTCTATTCGATCCAGGCATCTAGTCCGTTGCAAGTAAAATATGCAGATGGCGAGCTGGAAAGACTAGGTGTAATATCATATCCTGCTTTCATGTTTTATCTTTAAGATAGTTCATAATAGTTACCATTACCACCTACATTGCCATTTTCTTCATTGATCTTGTATTTGTCCATTTTTAGTATACATGGATAGTAATTGTTTATTATTTGTGGAAAAGAGCAGAACATAAACTCTTTATTGGCATGCTTCCGAAAAATGTATCTGAAGATGACGTTTCTGGTCTTTTCTCTCAATATGGAACTATAAAAGACTTGCAAATATTAAGAGGTTCGCAGCAGACAAGTAAAGGTAGTTTTGAGTTTGTTTCAGCTTGATTTTAGTCGAAGTTATGAAAGATAGCGCACATTCAGTTGTATCTTCACCATTAGCTCCATATGCTGGTCAAATGCAGGTTGTGCATTTTTAAAGTATGAGACGAAGGAGCAAGCAGTTGCAGCCCTAGAGGCAATTAATGGAAAGTACAAAATGGAGGTCCGTTAATTATCTACTTGTTTTGTGTCTGAATTGATTTTCTTGACCTATTGGATATTTTTACTTTTCAGGACATATTATTCTTCTTGCTTATATATTCATATTGTTATTGATATTTTGTTGACGCAATTGTTATTTCTCGAGATTTATTTGACATTTTCATGGCATTCTTTTGAAAAAAGATATTGCACCCTCTTGCTTATATATAATTGAAGAATTTAAGAACAATTACAAGTTTACCATGTGAGATAAAAAAAAACATCCATACCATATTGATTATTGATATTTTTTTGACACATTTATTATTTCTTTACATTTCTTTGACATTTTCATGGCATTCTTTTGGAAAAAGATATTACACCCTCTTGCTTATTTATAATTGAAACCTTCAATTTATGGGAATATCAATAATGAATTTATTCTATGCAAGATTGATCTTATGGAACGGTCATAATCACAATCACCAGATGGTATTGTGGCATGGACAAAATAACAATATATTTTCTTTCAGAAATTATAACTGGTTGGAATTTTTTCAGCAAGGATTTGACACACAAGTCAAATTGTCCAATTAGCTTTCTCGCACTCGCACCTGCAAGCATCTCTTTAGGGCCAACAATAATTTTATTGACCTAGGTTTTCAGGCGCTGGGATAATATTTTATGTTCTTTACTTCAGAGGAAGAGTATGAATGTACAAATACGTAGACATAATCACACAGGTGCAGGTTATAGAGGAATTGGATCTAATTATACTTTTTTAAACTCAGGGTTCTAGTGTCCCTTTGGTTGTTAAATGGGCTGACACGGAGAAGGAAAGGCAAGCACGGAAGGCTCAGAAAGCTCAATCACAGGGTTCTAATGTGCTTAATGCAGACTCCCAACATCCTTCACTATTTGGAGCCATGCCACTGGGTTATGTTCCGCCATATAATGGCTTTGGTTATCAGGTGAGTTTTGCAAAGGAATTATTCTTGGACTTCTTTTTCAGTATGTATGTATGTGCCATGTGCGAGATTTTTATCCCTTCTATTATTATTATTATTATTATTATTATTATTGTGGAGTGGTCTATGTTCTTGTCTTTTTGCTTGTCATGTGCGTCAGAAGAACATCATTCATATCTCTTTTAAGGTATATGAGTTACTAATGAATGTTTCAATCAGGTTATTCTGATCCATCATATTCAACTCGATTTCCTATTGAACGGTTTTTCATTTTCATGTTTCCAATTGATTGTTATGATATTGAAATACGAGGGTAGCTGATGATGGTCTCTTCTTTCTCTTTGTAGGCTCCTGGAAGTTATGGGCTTATGCAATATCACCTACCTCCAATACAGAATCAATCTGGTTTCCACAATATGATACCCCAACTAAACCAAGGAAATGCAATGCGTGGTATCCCGCCCGACCTCGGGCCGGGTATGGCTGCTAGGAATTATGGCATGCCTCCTGCAAGTTATGTTGGCTCTGCCTATCCTGGAGTTCCTGGTCTACAGCATCCCATGGCGTACCCTGGAGGAATGATGAGTCCCGGGGTTGTGAGCAGTTCACCTGGTTCAGGGCTACTTACTGGTGGGAAGAGTAACTCTCCAACGTCTAGTTTGGGTAAAGGCTCTGGGGGTCAGATCGAAGGTAGTTATATTTGTCATTGTGTGACCTTGATTTACAGATTGGTTTTTGAGTTTCTGGGAATTATAGTTCTCTCTCTTTTTTCTATAGGTCCACCTGGCGCTAATCTTTTTATTTATCACATACCCCAAGAATTTGGTGATCAGGAACTTGCTAATTCTTTTCGAGCATATGGCCGAGTTTTGAGTGCTAAAGTATTTGTTGACAAAACATCTGGAGTTAGCAAATGTTTTGGTGAGCACCGGTTGATACCTTACAGTAGCAACAGAATAACTGGGCTCGAAACTTTTTCTTGCCGTTTTACACCTGCAACTTTGTGCAAAATACATGTTGATGATGAAAGTGTTTTGACCCCTCTTCTGTATTTCGCTACATGGAGACGTCTAACTGTGTTCCATATGCAGGGTTTGTTAGTTACGATTCGCCCGAGGCTGCCCAATCTGCCATAAGTATGATGAATGGATGCCAATTAGGTGGAAAGAAACTAAAAGTCCAGCTGAAGAGAGACAATAAACAGAGTAAACCATATTAATTCGGGTTCGGAGTAATGTCCTCGAAGGCAGCAAAGTTGGCTTACATGGGGCCTAAATGCATTATAGTCAGGGTGGATTGGGGACGGTCTGTGGTTAAAATTCATTACTCTCATCCTGCCTGTGATTGCATCATCAGATGAAATCAAAGATACTTGTAATTCACGGTTCGGCCACGCTGATACAATTTGTAATTTATGTATCTTGGAAGATTAACATTCTTTAATTGATTCTTCCGGGACATCTGTTGACTGTAAAATACAATGTAATTATAAATGATCTCCTGATTCTTTTAGGTTTATTTATTTGATACTGCCAAATTTGATGATGCTTTTGCCTTCTGGTTACTTCAAGCATATCTTGTTTTAGATAATCTATTACAAGACCACACTTTTTCTATAGAACTATGAGCCCGTTGAAGATGATCAAAATATTTTCGACTCGAACTGCAACAAGTCGTTTGATTTACGTCCTTGTTTTTTGTTTGATTGATGGCTTTCGTTGGTTTACATAAGACTTTGGTTCAGTGCACAACTTGTACAGAAATATGATTCTGATCAGGTGGTTCTTTTAAATTTTTTAATTTTATTTAATCCTCTAAATCTGATATTTTTTTGCAGCTTTCCAATTAAGAATGCCGGATGTTTGCCTCCTAGGAAACTCATCAGCTGTGGCATCAAACAGGTATTAAGTTTTTCTCGAGTCTGCATCAGTGATAGTTCATCGGTTTAGAGCTCGGTTCCTCCCAGAATATCTTGTATGTTGGAAAATCACATCTACTGACAATTGTTGTCGATCTAAGAGTAAGTTCTTAGGATTAAGTTATCGAACTTGGTTTGCTGCTTGTTATTTTCACAGTTATGATTGTAATGGACTCGACATCTTCAAATTGTCGATAACTTGGATCGGTTAAAGAATTTGGAAACTGCTGGTTAGTATGATCTTTCTCTCCGTGCGTTTCTGATCTCTAGTTTCTTCTTGCTTTTTCCCCGCCATTAATGCACATTAATTCTTAGCTTTGTGTGAAGCCAAATATCATGAAATTTTTTAAGGTTATTTTTAATGGAGACACTCCCAAATGCATAATTGATCTGTTCTGGGTGATTCGGAGACATAATTTGCCTGTTTAAGCAATTCAAGGATGGATCACGAATCTTACATCAAAGCACTGTAAGAACTTTTCTGTATATTATTATTTCGACGTTTTTTGTTTTCGTTACATGTCGGTTTCTCTATACTTGCAAATATTCTGTTACCATCTCGGAAAATTCTTGACCACATTTTACAGAAATTTCTTAGGGCAATATGTGGTTTTGTGTCTCGAACTACATATATTGAACTTAATATTATGTTCAAAGACGAATTAGCCTAAGTCTACTAACAACCAAAATGAAGCAACTTCGAAGTGACTAAGAGAAGATTCGAGGCCGACCTTTATTGTATATTGGTATAACATGCGCTTATTTTTGTTGATGTAACAACGTAGAGATGCAGGTGGAATTTTAAAAAGGAAAATAGATCTATCACATGTGAATTAGCTTAAATTAAAAGGTAGCTATTGAATTTATTTATTTAATATTTTTTTTTCTAATAGTTAGATGACAGATATCTGAATAGTTTGGAATTTGACCAACCACACCACATGTTCCCTATTCAGACGAATGAGAGAGGAAGATCCCTGTCATATTTAATGCCTTATTTTTTGGCTTACTTTTTATTTATTTATTTATTTTTAATTACTTGAGTCAATGAATTTACAGTCTTTGTTGATCGATTTTGATTTTTTTTATTTCTGACAATTATTTTCATGGGGAGTTGGTTCTCTGTAGCTGTCTTTAAAAACTGAGCAAATACTATTCTGAAATAGTTGTTGTATTGTTGCGTTTAAATTAGAAGTTTAATCCTTCAATTTTTTGGTTTGTGTTTAGCGCTCGAGATTGTTCAGGACGATGGATCATTTCTTTGCCTAACAACGTGAGACTTTGTTTGCACACTTTACAAACTCAACAGAGAGAATCCGATGATAGACTTGTTCTTATGGCTCTCGAAGCAATCATGAATAAGAAATTTCATTCTGTTTTTTTTTTTCCTTATTCTTTTCTAATAGGTCATTGCGTTTTTAATTTTGTATCTAATAAGCCTTTGGTCTATTTGACACTTTTTATAAAAGAAAGAAAAATTAAGAGTAAATATTTAGTAAATGTTCAGAAATCCATTAGGCATAGAATTGAAAGTTTAGATATCTATCCGATACTTTTTAAAGTTTAGAAATTTAATATATGGTTGTCATGTTTTAGTTTAGAAATTTAAGAGAAAAAGCTCCATATGCTTGGAGACTTTGGAGCTTCATAGTTTGAGGTCGATTCGAACATTTAATCTTTTGGTAGAACATTATTTGAAAATAAAATCTTTAGTATCTTTCGAGGTTGTCATGTTCTAGTTTCTACAAATCCTGGTAGAATATGGGACTTTGAAGCTTCAAGTAGAATTGTAGTTGAAGGTCGATTCGAACATTTAATCTTTTGATAGAATGTTCGTAAAAAAAAGATCTTTGATATCTTTTGAAGCTGGCGGGAGCGCGTTGAGGCTCGAGACATCATATCATATATTTAAAAGAAAAGTGAAAAGATCCTCTTTTTTTTTTCCCTCTTGTCATTGAATTTAATATGTGGGGTTTTTATTCCCATTTTAAACGTGAAAAAATCCTCTTTCTATCTCTCTATTTGCTTAGTTTTATCTGTCAGTGTCTTATCTTTTTCTTATCCTTCAAACTTGGGGGCCCTCAACAGTGGTTTGCTTTTTCCTTTTTTGTTTTTATTTTTACTTTTTGGATAAGGATAGTCAAATTTTCAGGCAAGGAGCATTTATTTTTTTCCCTTCATCAGATTATTTGATAATATCTTTTGTTTTTTGTTTTATTTTTTCAAAATAACATCCTTTATTTTAGGTTTAAATAATTTGTTGCTTTTAAAACGATCAATTTAATTTTTRTATTTTTAACTTTTTGTTYATTTTAACGCATTTTCAAAACTTTTGTTTTGATTTTTGTATTTTTAAAAAGTGACGAATTTGAAATCTTTTATAAAATTTTAGCATAATTGTTACACAAGGGAGATTATTGGAGACCAATTTATGACTACATTTTAAGAAGTTTAGCGAATGAAGTGTCATGCTAAATTTAGGATGGGAAGAAATGAGACATATATGAAAATGAAAGGGTCAAAATTGTCCCCTTTTCTCTCAGAATAAATAAGCTGAAACTATTGAGAACACGATGATATTTAAACATTATTTATTAGTATTATTATTATTATTATTATTATTATTTTAAATTTTGACATCTTAGTTAAATTTTAGGTTAAACAAATGGCTTCTTGAAAAATATTGCATTTTAAAATTTTGAACCGAATAATGAAAACTTCGTCAAAAGAGATCTGGATGTTTTGACAGAAAAAAAAAGGATGATTTTTCTTTAACAATGGGTAGGTTTTAATTCTGAGATTCAATAAATACTTAGCTTTATTTAATAAGTTATTGACTAATATTTTAATAAGTTACGTTTAGGTTTGCTAATTTATTAGTCAAATAGATTTTTTTCATAAATAATTTAAGTGATATCATGTGAGTAATTTAATATATTAATTTGATCGAGATGTATCAATACTATGATTCAACCAATTATTRAATCTATTAATTATAATCCAATTATGTTCTTTTTTTTTTTGRAAGTCCAATCCAATAATGATTAATTCCKATTAAATGCTCAATTTGTTTTCGAAATTGACGTTTAATAAAAATTAGAATACGTGACACAAAAAATTATCAAGAAACAAGCTTATCAATTACCAAATAGATCTTAAAATATTTTGAAGTTAAAAAAAAAAATTCTTAAAATATTTTATTCTCACSTATGGTAGGTTTTTATATCATTAAAATTGACTTCGTTTTTCTTTTTCTTTTTTCCTTTAAGCAGATGATATTTCTTTTTTATTTTCTAATTTAGGTTAAAAAATACATTTGGTCCCTATACTTTCACTAAAATAACAATTTAGTCCCTAGACTTTAGTTTCTAACGATTTAGTCCTTCTACTTTCACTAAAATAACAATTTAGTCAATGAACTTTAGTTTGTAACGATTTTGTCCCTGTACTTTCACTAAAGTAACAATTTAGTCCCTGAACTTTAGCTTGTAATGATTTAATCCCTGTAGTTTAGAATTTAAAACAATTTAGTCACTATCGTAAAATTTTTATTAAAATTAAGTGTCAAATTTTATCCTATAACAATTTAATCTTTCTAATTTTATAAACATGTTTGGTCCTTTTATAGTTTATCAATCTATATATATATATATATATATATAATAAACTTATCAAAAAAAAAAATCATGATAAAGACTAAATCGTTACTAACTTTAAATTACAATGACTAAATTGTTACCAATTTGAAAGTACATGGACTAAATCGTTACAAACTAAAATTTATGGACTAAATTGTTACTTTAGCGAAAGTACATGGACCAAAAGTGTTTTTTAACCTTTAATTTATATAAGATTGTAAACATGAACTAGGGTTATAATTAAATTGATAATTAATTTCGATGTGGTGTAACTTTTTTTTCCCTCTCAGTTTTAAAAATCAGAGTCAGCATAAAAATATGATTAGATTAWCTTTTGTTGAATGGAAAAATCTATTTGTAAGTCAAATAAGAAGTAATCAACTAAATCTACATCAATGAGAACAAGTAAACTAATAAATATTAACAATCAATTGATTTACTTTGGTAACTTATTTTCATATTATTTTTATATAATATAATAATTGGAGTGGATGTCAATGAAAAAAATTGTATTAAACTACTTTTTGCAACAATATTAAATACTGAATCAATGAATTTTTATAACAACAATAAATTCAAACACAACMCAAAGAAACATGCTCAATTTGAGCATAGTTAAAAAAAAAAAAACATCTACTATTTGAAAAATAAGTTATTTTTATCCTTTTAAACTAATAAAGTTGATTAAAAATTTATTTTGGTTTTGGAGCTTTCATAATTATTTTATCTTAGCTATTAAACTTTTAAAATATTTATTTTGGTCAAATTTTTAAAATGTATAAAGAGACCAAGTTAAATCAAAAGGATATAGAGGGAATGAATTCAAAGTCCATGATAACTACCTATTTAGAAATTAATTTCCTGTTGTGTTTTTTTAGTAGTCAAATGTAGTAAGGTCTGTCCCGTTAGATTAATCGATGTGCACGCAAGCTGATTCAGGCACACACAGATTAAAAAAAAAGTATATTTTAACGCTTGAACACTACAAA